CAAAAAATTGGGACTTTTAAAAAATGCCAAAAATCGGAACTGTCCCGCCCAAAGCTGGATGTCTGGTCACCTTAATTCTATGAGCATATGACTTGGGTAGACACTCAGGCTGAACGGGTATGGGAGAAGTGGGAACAGGGCCATGAAAATACATCAATTTGGCAGAGGACATTTGTATTATGTGTATTTACTTTTGCTTCAAATATGTTCAAGGATTTGATAGCGCATACCAGGGCAAAGTTATAACAATTTCTTATGTATAACCAAACACATTAGAGAAATGGGTCCCTGGGCTTGGGTGATCCGGACTATAGTCTCCGAGGACACCACAGTCCATTGGCACAACAATTTCTCAAAGATGTTCTACATCCTACTTTAGCAAGCAATAACTGGGGTCTTAAAAGCTTATGAGCAGCCATCTAAGGTACAACTCTTGGTCCAGACCAGGAAAAGAGTAATGAAGGACATCGAGATTAGTGGACTATTGGACCATGCAAACATTAGCCTCCACAACCCCAAGACCAGAATAGCTACATGGTGCCTGGCTACCTCTACCAACAGCTCTGAAAGGAATTATATTAGCAGGTCCTGGATAGAGTGGAACAGAAATGTGGAACAAAAATCCGAAATCACAAAAGAGACCAGGTTTACTTGCCCATAGAGACTGGAGGAATTCTCAAGACTGTGTTTTACAAGACTGTGGCCTTTAGTCAGTCCTTCAGATCTGCAACTGAACTCTCCTCCCTGCCTCAATTCTCAGCCAAACAAGAGACAAGTCTATAAGGGGAACAATAACACCAGTGAGGTACACATACACGTGCCTTAGAATAATAAAGCGTAAAAAAAAAAAGAATAATCGACTGCTTGAGATCAAAAGGGCAGCATTTACCCAACAAAGTTTAGAGGGTTAGGGAAAGGTTTGGGAAGGTGGAATGGCAATAGCAAACAGGGAGGAAGTAGGATAAGTAATGTACATTGAAGAGATTGAAACAGATGAGCTGAAACAAGAAGTATATGAACATTTGAATGTAAAACCGGTGGTTTGCTTTGTAATTTTTCACCTAATTAACAATAAGAGGTTTTTAGAAAATAAAGAAAAGGGAAAACTAGAAGAGAAAATAAAAATAATGTCAATCTTGTAGTAGCATTGTCTTGCACAATACAAGGGACTTCAGACCTAGAAATTTCAAACATGTGTGTCTTTTTTATTCTGCTTGAAAAAGTACCTGCTCCTACTCTTATGATTAATTGATGCTGTTAATGGAATAGTAAAATGCTAGCTGGATGGTATAAAAGGCTAATCAATTTGGGGGTTTGTGTATATGAGAGGCCCCCTGGATGAGAGGTCTGGTGAACTATTCCCTCCCCCCACCCGCAAAACAGCACAGCTCTGACACATGGGCTCGCCGTAAGCTGGAGTTACTGGGATGGCCGCTGGGCCCACACATTACTGTTAGCCACAGATATCATGGAGACCACTTTTCACACATAAGCCTTCTGTAGAAATGTTATGAGACATTCCACAGAAAGCACAATGTTGGAAATGTTTATAAGTAGAGCCGAAAGTCATTTTGAAATCATGTAGCTTGATTGTCTCCTATTGCTAAAAACAGTAGTTTGCTCCTCAACAAAATGCTTCAGAGGAAAAGTATGGTGGAATCAAGAGACTGGGTTATTTTTAGAACTCTACCAGATAATATGTACTAGAGTGACAGCTAAATAGATGATGGCAACACAATGCATTCACTCGAATTGGGCTTTTATTTTAAAATATATTTAGCATAAAACTGTCATAAGAGAGAAAAATAATAAAACACAAGAAATGGAATCTTTTCAAATACTTTTTAAAGCTACACAACATTAATAGGATAGCACAGACCCAACTTATAGAAAATATTCTCTAATTTCAATTAATTAAACACAAATTTGTTGTGTGTGTGGGGGGAAACAGTCGTCACATTTTCCGGCGTACCAATGATACATTACTAAGTTTCTCAGTTTCCTCTTAACTAATAGGTAAATGGCCCAAATTTAGTTGCTTTACTTAAAACTATCAGATTCTATTTGGATAAAAATTACCATGCTTCTAAATAACCTCATCAGAATTATAAAAATATGAACTCAAATAGTTATGCTACCCAAAATAGAAACATCATACATGATACTTTTGGATAATCATAAAGGCATTGCACTAAAATCAGTAATTCAATTGCTGATGTTCATTATTTTGGAAAGTTAATTTTTTTCTTACTACAAATAAACGTAATGTCAACCTAATTTTAATCACACTTCAAAATATAAAGGCACAGACAGAATAAACAATAGTTTAATACAATATCTAAATTTTCCACTGTGAAAATAAAAAGTTAAAAAAATAATCTAAAGGATCTAAAATATTGACACTTACTTTTAGAGTTTATAGTTTCCAGAAGTAGTTAATAAATGGGTATAAATTCAACACTGCTAAATCCAATCCCTTCCAGATAATTTAGAAAAATGGCCTGTTTCCATGTGAAGCATGTGCACTGTCCCATCTACAAATTTCAATTACATTTCTGCTAATTGGAAAGATCTACCCACAGTAGAAACAATCAAGACAATGTACAAAAAAATGTTATTCCTATAACTTACAATGCACTGAAAATATCTACAAAAATGAAAATATTTATCCATTTAGGTTTCCAATAAACTGATGAGAAAGTTTACCCCATTCCACATTTTTCCTAACTAGAGATTAAATAGTTAAGGAAGGTTTGCTTTATCCCTGTTAGCTTGACATGTATTTTCAAAGTGTTTGTCTGATTATATCAAGTTTAAGTTAACATTTTATTTTCATCACAGTATTCGTGGTATTTTTTAATTTAGCAACAGAAAGGCACAATTAGCAAGCAGTAAAATTCAGTACCTGAATTATTAAACTGATGTCCACAACAGTTGCAAATAAAGTACATTCAACACAGTTATACAGAACTGAAAAAAATCCTAAGGAATCCAAAAATTAACTTTTTTGAAATTTGGTCCATTAAAAATGCTTCCCATATACCTCATGGGTAATGTGAGTGGTGATGGCAGTGTAATAAGAGAAAGTAAATTAATACATGGTAGCACATGAATTCTGGTTTAGTAACTATGTAATTCAAGTAGGAAATGGCTCCCATAGTAAATAAATGCTTAATATAGCTATTAGTAATAATATACCTGCATAAGTCCAAACACACAGGCTCACTGTTTGCATATTATTATTGATTTCATAATAGACCCCATAGTTTTAAAAAACTTAGGTATATATTTCCAATATATAAAATATATTAGACATATAATGTATATTTTATACCTTAATATGTTCTATATAATTTGATCCATAACAGTACTAAAACTCCCCAAACATGGCATGAACACTCTGAATGGACACTTACTTTCACTAGTGTTGAAATAGCCCAGCTTACCTAGAACAACAACTGGATGTGCAATGGTAAAATGCACAATGACTCTTAAGAATTTACTTAAATAATTATTTAAGTTAAATTCCTGCAAAAGCCTAACTGATCTGGCTTTTCCCTAGCATATATTTGCAGGTATCAATAACTGATATCCTTTTTACTTATCTTAACAATGTTTCTCAATTAAGAGAGATCCATGAAAATAGGTAAGGAATCAAACATGTGATAGAGAAGCCAACAATTCCATAGGTTAAATAACGATAAGGAAGTTCTACTTCCATGTGCTGTCTTGCTTTTCGAATATCGTCACATGGAACATTGGAAATTTTACAGGCTAATGGAATAGTGATCTTTTTCATTATATTTCTCACTACTAGTACAAGGGCCATCCCTAGGAGGATCCTTAAAATGGCTTTAACACACAGAGTCACAGTAATGGGAGGTATAATTAAAGGTAATGTATCCAAAGAGGGCTCTAATACTAGACCCATGTTATAAGCAACATGAGATCCACACGCAATGCCAGCACCACTTCCTAGAATCTCAGCCGTGTCTCCTCGGGATGTACTCCAGGTATCAAGGGTAAAAGAAAAAATCCCCAAGACTAAGTGAAGGCCAATGATGACAAATGGAGCATATTTGTGCGTTTGGTTGAAGTTGTCAATCAAGTCCACAAATGGATAGAAGATCATTAAGATTGAAATGGAATACAGGAATCCGGCGATAATATCCTGAGAAAAGAGAAAAATAAGGTTATTTAAAATGATAATATTTGAAAATAATAGTATCTAGTTCACATTGGAATTGTGGATTGGATTTAAATTTTAATGATGTTGTAAATTAAAAAAAAAAACTTTCCTAATAGATTATATGATAAATCCTAAACACTATTCTAGTTATAATTTAAAAAATGTTAATGTTTCCATAATTCTCCATCACTTATCAAAGCGTATTCAAAGTCTGAATAAATACTTGGGTAATTTCCTGTTCTCTTTCATTCATTTTTTGTCAACTACTTCGTGAGAACCTACCTATTCTTGGCACTATCTTAGCGGCTGAGGCCATTCTGCTGCTAAACAAAAACGAAAAGATCGAACTCTCAGTAGAGCTTACATTTTTCTGTGAGGGATGACTAACAGTAACCGTATAGGAAGGTAGATAAGCACATTGGATTAAAATTTCATATAGTTATTAGTGATATGAAGACAAGGAGCTAGAATTGAATAAGACCCTATTAGAGTGATCAGATGAGAGAGAAGAGGAGGGTTTCTACTCCCATAAAGAGTTACTGTCTTAGAAACCCACAGGGGCAGTTCCACCCTGTCCTATAGGGTTACTATGAGTCAGATTTGACTTGATGGCCGTGTATTTGGTTTTCCGAGAATGATCAGGGAAACCTGACTAAGGAGGTGACACCTGAGCAGAGAACTGATTCCCAAATGGAGCCAGCCCTGTATCAATACAGTGGGAAGTGTTCCAGGAGGAAAGAAGGGTGAGTGCTAAGGCCTCGAAGCAGAAAAGAACTTGTTGAGCTCAATGAACTGAGTGAAGTATAGAATGGCTGGAAAAGTGAGCAAAGGGCAGAATGACGTGGTATGAGGTCAAAGACGCAGGTAGAGGTCAAACTGCAGAAGGCCCTTGTAGGCTAGCTAAGGAGCCTAGCTAAAAAAATTTATAGGCAAGAACAAACAAACAAACAAACAAAATTTACAGGCAATCACTGAAATACATCAAAGTAGCGATGTAACATGATCTGATGGTAGATATTTGTAAAAGGGTAGTCTATCTGCTGTGTCTCAAGAATGGAATAGAGGAGTACAAAGTAGAAGATAGGAGACCACTGTCAACACTAGTAGAGGCTATTGTGGTATCCATGTCCAGAGTCTACATACATGGTGCACATATAGTTGTAAAGTAGAACATAGATGGAATTAGTAAGGCAGTTGAACATTTAACATATTATGTTAAATATGACATCATAAATATAAATGAGGGCCACATTTAAGCTGACAATTTTAACTGGGTAATATATTAAAAGGAGTCCTAGTGGTGTAGTAGGTTGCTCATTGGGCTGCTAACAAGGTCAGCAGTTCAAAACCACCAGATGCTCCTTGGGAGAAAGATGAGGCTTTCTGCTCCTGTACAGATTTACAGTCTCAGAAACCCATAGGGGAAATTCTACTTGGTCCTACAGGGTCACTATGAGTCAGAGCTAACTAGATGGAAGTGAGTTTGTAATGTATTGAATTGTAAGAGAAAGATCACAGATCCCTGATATAAACAATTGGGTAGATGACAGAATAATTTACTGAGATGATGGTAGCTGAGGAGAAAAGGTGGTGTACAGGAGGAAATCATGGTATTACAAAACAAAGCTTTCCCTTCTGAAACATTCCTAACGCTGGGGTAAAGTGGAATTACATGGTATGGTTTTTCTTTTCTTTCTTTCACAGTTTTATTGGCACATACGATATATACTTGCGTATATATGAGGTTTTCCAGCACATTTTTAATGCAGGTTTTGTAGTAAAATTAGGTGCCTTGGCTGATATTCGGGTCAGCTTATACTCGAGTATATATGGTAATCCACATATCATATAATTCAATAGGTCAATCACATAAAAAATTATACAATCATTACCCCAATTGATTTTAGAACATTTTCTTTTTTTTTCACGATTAAATCGCTTTTATATATATAAAAATATATATATTTTCTGTACATCAATGCTCATAGCAGCTTTATTTGTAATAGCTCCAAACTGGAAAAGATACAAGTGTCTTCCAATGAGGGACTGTGGACATCTAAGTAACTGAATGCTACTCTGAAATAGAAAGGATCAAACGAATGGTAGATGCAACTCAGAGGGATCGTGAGGGAATTATGGACAATAAAAAAAAGTCAATCTCCAAAGTTTCTCTGTTAAATCGCTTTTAAAATGAGTTGTGTAATCACAATCAGTTGTAGTGCTCCCCCACTCCCCACTCCCACATACATTGCTTGCTACAACCCCTTCAATCTCTCTACGTGGTATGGCTTTTCCATACTTAAGTCTTTGTAACTCCCACTCAGTCACTAAGTAACTCCCACTCTAACTTGGGATGGGTCAGTTTTTGCCATTCCACTGGGTACAAAGTAAGCCATCTAAGAAGCAGGAACAGAGGAATCCCATGGCCATCAAGAAAGAGGATCCACCAGTGGAACAAGTGTGAAACCCATGGCCTCAATGGTGGAGGCTGCAGAGGCGACAGCACTTAGACAATGAGAGAGCGCAAAGAGCCATGCACAGACCATGAGGCACAGTGGTGGGCTTCTTGGCCCAGTGTGGGAAACTAACACCGAGGGAAATAGGACTAGGACTATATTCCCTAACTTATAACTGAGGGAATCTGGAAAGCTAGTATTCCACAGTAGGAAAGCCACCACTTTGGTAAGTTAGAGATAAAGTCCAAGTATATTACCCTGAGTTAAATATCATTTCCACAGATTCTCCCCTAACAGCTTTGCTGCTTAAAGTGAGCACATGCTTGATTCTTTCTCCCTATAGAAGCAGACATTCTTGTTATCTTCTCTCACCAGGGCATCCAACCCCCCTTAAACCATCCCCCAATAATAGATGGGCATAGAGGGGCTTTATGCCTGAGCCTGGATTCAAAATGTCTTCCATAAGCTTGAAGTTTTGGCTTGGCACATTAATACTGTCATTAATTTTGCCTTGACAGCTTTCAGTGTACAGAAAATAACCATGTTGTCTATAAAGCTTGTTTGAATCTAATACATAAAACAAAAGGGAGAATTGTGCAATACAGAAAGGTTTTCCCCCAGGTTGTCGCCTGCTTGCTAGCTCATTGTATAATCAGCTACTTAGAGGTATCCTCCCTAAGGGCATTCAGTCACATAGAACAATCAGACTCTATTGTCTGTCCCACCACAGATGGGGCTCACTCCCTGCTGATTAGGATAGTGGATTGCGTTCCAGAAGGAGAGCTCAGAATAAGTCATGCCAGCTCAAGGATGACCAAGGTTAGGCTGCCATCTTGAATCTAGGATCCACCCTTCTTGTCACATGTGTACCCCTAATCCCTCCCCTTCCTATTGCGTGTACAACCCCTTCCTGTGACGTGTGGTTACCTGTAATCAGGGGGGCTTACAAGCTCCTTAGTATATATTCCCGTCACCTCTTCTCCTCCTCCCTCTCTCTGCATGGACTTGGCTGCTGAGATCATGGCCGTCCCCAAAGGTGAGCATGCTACCATAAAATGTGCCTGACTCCTATATTTTAGCTTCTCTCCTATCTTCTATGACATTACAGTGAACCCTCGCCACTTCGCGCTTCGACGTCTGCGGCTTCACTCTATCGCGTTTTTTGCGTAACAGCACCCACTGCCTACACCCGCTCCTTCAGAGGAAAAAGACGGCGACCCACCTGTAGAGTACATCCCTTAAGTCATTTCATAGGCTATTGATTACAGTATTTGTAAGAACTATGTATAATAATACTGTATGTGAAATATGTAATACTGTAAACTAGATGCCATAAATAATATAATAAATGATAATTGTAACGTCCAAAATGTTTTACTGTATTTTCCCTTTTTCGTTTAATAAATTGGGTAATACGAGTGTAATGGTGACTAAAGGGTGTTTTTTCATGTCCTCTATGCTCTAACTACGAAAATATTTGATTTACAAATAAGGAATCCTACTTCGCGGAATTTCATTTATCACGGTAGGGTCTAGAACAGATTAACCGCGATAAACGAGGGTTCACTGTACTATGATCCTTATACATTATTGCCGTAAAAGTGCACCTACGGACCCCCATGATTATTAGAAGCTGGTTTCCTCTAACAGCCCAGAGAATAAGTAAAGCTGAGTGCCTTAGGATAGGAGGCTGGCTTGCAGAATTCGGTGCTCTTTGGGCATCTAGCAGTACTTTTATAACTTTTATAGTAGCTTTTATACGACTTGCTGGAGCAGGGCAGAAGCCCAGGGGCTGCATGGTTGAAAGGATAAAACCAGAGAAGGATCAGAAAGAGATGAGCCTTCTGGTATGGTTGAGAAGAGGAATTGCTGTGTAGAAGACTGGATCCTTAATGTCTTCTGATCCGGATCCTTAACTTCTCTAATAAAGCGCACAATCATGAGTATTGTTTGAGAGTTCTGTGTGGCCAAAGCAATGAATTATCAACCCAGCAGTGGATTCTGTGGGAGGGAAGGTTGTGGTAGAACATGATAAAGAAGGAGGAAGGTGGAGGCATGCTTGACATCCTCAGCGGGGCTGATGTGGAGTTGGATTCTCCTTCCCCCAGTGAAGTTCTTTCTGGGACGATGGCAGACACATGCAAAGCCTTCATGCAATTTCCTCAAAAGCATACAAAATGTTCCAGAGTTTCAACTTTACCACAAAACTCTGGGATCTACTCTCTATCACTGTACATTTTACAGAAAGAGTTGCTTATATTTATTGGCTCCACTTTCCCATTTGTCATTTTTTCTGTAAGTTCACTAGGCTTCTCATGGAAAGCAATCTCCTTTGGCTCCAAACAATGGTCATCTCTCATGAGCACTCAATGCTAGTGGCCTAATCATTTGTCTTAATATTGTTATATTTTATAATAAATGTATAAGATATATATGATGTAAAATTACAAAATTAATATCCATGAAAGCATTGTTCCAAAAAACTGTAACAATGTTTAACATAATAACATGTTATATAAGATAGAGTAAAATATATGTTGCTTACACATTATCTTGTTTCTACTTATTAATATATAACTATGAGCATTACAAAAAGTTATCATGTAGTAGATGTGTTAGATCTCTCCTGGGGGAGATATACCTCAGTCCTTGGCTCCGCATGAGAAAGAATTCACGCCAAAGGCTGGTTTGTGATCCAAGTGAGTTTATAGAGAATAAAAGCAGTTTCAGGTTCTACAGTAAATGGAACACAAGCCGGACAGAGTCCGCGGCACAGTTGTGGAACTGCAGCCTGGCCGCTGAGGACTGCAGGACTGCCTCGCGGCTGTGCTACATTGTGTAGCAGCCGCTGGGAAAGAGAGCGCCAGAGCCAAACCTTTCCTCCGCGGGGAGGCGTGGTTGATGACCCTGGTCGACCCCCATTGGCTGAACTGAATTCACCTGGCTTAGATGGGCCAATCCAGGTATAATGCCCACCTAGGTGTACCACCCCTTCCTGGCTGGAAGCTCAAACCTCTGAGCATGTGTAATGGACGCCCCAGTCCCAATGCTAAACTACCTAAAAGGTGGTTCCTTTGATATGTTTTTTCCACTCAATATTAAGTTTATAGTATTAATTCATGTGATTATATGTAGTTGCAGGTCAACTCAACTTTTACAGTCGGTCAATATTTTACTGGGGTCATTGAGGTTGTTGGGAGGTCTTGGTGTAATTAGTTACGGCTGAGCTTAAATGCTTTCTTAGCTGGCAGCCACCTCGGGCTATTCTTTTTCTATGCAGTGCACACTTGTGTATGCTGTGTAACTGTTCTTTTGGATTTTCTTTTTCTTAATGGTTGACAAGATTCCTCTGGATAGTATATGTACAAATTCTTTTCCAATCATAAGTATTGTGAGTATTCAGGGTTGTGGTTTGTCTTTTTATTGTATTTTCTTTACAGTATCTTTTGGCAATGAGGTTTAAATGTTAATTTGGTTCTATTTATCATTATTTCTTATTTAAGAAGGGCAAGAAATACTTTCCCAGCCTGGCATCATAAGAAGACATCATTCAAAATTGTTTCCAGGTTTGCCTTTGACACTGAAGACTTGAATGTACTCAAATTTTATTTTTAGCTTAAATTACCCCAACCCCACATGGGTGTATAATGGCATCTCTACTGTGTATCCAGTTTCCATATATGCATGGTTTTTCCCCCTAAACTTTATTCTGTTAATTGGTTAATTTGTTTAACCTGTTGCAATATCACAATAATTACTATTGCTTTATAGTATGCCAGGACCTATTGAACTGCTAGCAAGTATTAGGAGAATTTTCTAATGAGCTGGCCAGTTGCCTCAAAAAACCTTGTTTTGATTTTGATTGGAATTGTACTTAAGTAAATTTAAGTCAAAATAACTATAATATTTATTCATTTGTGCAGATAAAATGGTACTTATCCATTTGCTCAGATCTCTTCAATATTTTTTTAATGTTTTAGTGATTTCTTGGAAGAAGTTTTAGTAGAAAAGTAGATGGAAGTTACAAATCAGCTAGCCTGTTGCTTCTATGCTGTAACAAGAACAGTAAAGCATATGGCAAATATTGAATGAAGTGTTCGTGATTTTAGATCAGAGTATCAGAGCTGTCTTTTTCATGTTAATGAAGACATCAGTTTAGATCACCTGTTATGTTGTGGTTATCGCACAAAATTATAACTTTCAATTCTTACAAACTGATGCTGCTTTTACGCTTAAAGAAAAGTGCAAACTTGTAATACTACACTGAATACAGTTCAGTAGTTAGCCTGAATAACACTGGTAAGATATCCTATGGGACAAGATGCATTTTAAACATTTAAAGAAGTAGGGTTATCAGACTCATGGTTTGAAAAATAGTAGGTTAATATTGTTTTTACTTCAGCTAGCTCAAGAACAGATGTTATTGTGTATATTTTAAAAATGAAGTGTGGCGGATGCGGGAGAGAGGGAAAATGAGGAGCTGATGCCAAGGCTCAAATAGAAAGAAAATGCTGTGAAAACGATGATGGCAACACATGCACAAATGTGATTGAGACAAGTAACGTATGGATTGTTACAGGAGCTGTAAGAGCCCCCAATAAAATGATTTTTTTTAAAAAGTGAACCTCAGCCTGGATATTTGACCAATCCATTAACATTTAATTTTTTTTTTAAGAATACTATTTTTGAGATTACATATTCAGAATAATCAGTTTCTTTATATTATGATAATGAATGGAAGGATAATACCATCTATATTTTTCTCCAAGAAGTACTAGGAAATCTCTATCACTCAAAGATGCATAGATGTTTTAATTTTTTATTTTTTGCAGTATTTAAGGATATATACTGCTAACTCTTAGGGGTGGCCAGGAACAATTGTAACAAATCACACAGAATGGATGGCATTCTCTTCTGGTACATAATAGATTTAATATAAATTGTCATTAAATGAATAATGATTACTCAGAAAGAACTGTATGTATATTAGTCATTTGTACTGCGTATCAATGATTATATAAAGTCAAATTATTTGTTTACTAAAACAGTATTTGGGAATTTTAGAAATTTCCAATAATGGAACTTCTAAAGGTGAGAAAGTAAGAAATAGAAGCTAAGACTATTTGTACAGCTATAAAACATGTTGAATGAAATATTTTTATAAATAACACTATTAAGGACAAACAATGACATTCTGATATCACCCATCAGAAATGTTAAGATTCGGAGTAGTTCATACTTTCTCATCCTTTATTTTCAAAGGTAATACACAATATATTCATAAAGTCCCTCTGAAGATAGGCTGGGGAGAGACAGAGCACACACAATCCCTGCTCTCAAGGAGCTTGTAGTCTAGTGGGGGTGACACAGAAAGAAGAAAGCAGTTGTCACTCCGGATAAGTACGATGCCAGAATGATACTCAAGATGCATGGCGAGAAGGGTCATGGTGCAATCTTCAGTAAGGAAGAGCGAGAAGGTAAAGGGCCTTTGATAACATGTGTCATGAGTGTTGAAGGATGTATGGGGTGTGTAGGTAGACAAAGAGAAAGGGCATTTCAAGGAGATGGTACAGCACTCCTCAAGGTGGCATCAAGGTTAAAAAAAAACCACCTTTGCATTTGAGGAAGCATAAATCAGCTAATATGGCATCATGCTGGTATTTTGGATAGTTCACTCCAACAGGAGGTTGAATGCCGAATGAAAAGGTACTAAAATGGAAGCAGGGCTATGATTGGGAAGCTGCTACAATAATCTGGTTATGGGATGTGCAGGCCGGAACAGACGGAATGCCTAAGGTACACTGAAGGAGATGTGACCACAACTAGTGCAGGATTCCTGCAGTCCTGCTTTCGAAACTGAATCATTTCCTCTCACTGGTATGGAGTTGATTCCAACTCACAGTGACCTTCTAGGATGGGTTGAAACTGCCCCATGGGTTTCCGAGACTGTAACTCTTTACAGGAGTAGAAAGTCTCATCTTTCTCTAACTGAATGGCTGTTGGTTTCAAACTGCTGACCTTGTGGTCAGCGCCCAATGGGTAACCACTATGTCACCAGGGCTCTACTGAAACTGAATAGCATTCTCAAAATGAAATACCTGATGGAAATCCTGTTGGAAAAGAAAACTTAAGAGTTCAATATGGAAATGCAAACAGCAACAGGAGAGCTTAACTTGATTCCATGTCTAGTCCCTGGGCTTTCTTGCCTGTTCAGAGCACTCCCTATTCCTATACTCATTTGTTGGATTTGACTTGATGGCAGGAAAGGTATTGTGGGGAGCTTGGGTAACTGCAAAGTAGAATGAAACTAAATAAATATGAAACTGGGGCTTGAAGGGAGAAATGCTATCCTAAATGTACTACTTGGTTGTAGGGACAGCCAAAAACTATTTCTAAGTAATATGTGATTACTACATTAAACATCATGCTGATAGCTTTGCTAAACAAAGGTAAAAAATTTACAATAACTGCATTTTCTTAGTTGGGTTACATATAAATTTGCAAATAGTTAAAAATAATGAAATTATCCATCAACATCAGGAAAAACCAACCAACCAACAGTACAATAAATACATTTTCCTTACCAGAATGGAGTGCATTCCCATGTAAATCCTACTTAGGGAAACTAAAGAACACCAGCACGGAATAAGAATCAGTCCATAGGTAAGAGGATACTAAAGGAAAGAAAAAGTAAAATTCGTTAAGTATAAACAAGCAAATAAAAACAAATCACTATATTAAGTTTCAGGAGAGCAAGGTCTACCTGATTCTCCTCCCCATTGTATTCCCAGTGCCAAGTCTAAGCACAGAACACAGCACCCACTCAAGAACTACTTCTTACACAAATGAACCAAAGAGAAAGCAAAGCAAGCTTGATTCTGCCTCTTCATTGTGGGAACTGCTCGAGTTTGCTTTTTACAGTTCAGTTTCGATCACCGGCACACTACAGAGAAGGCAGATAGGTATGAGATACATTTGTATTATAAAACCCTGAACTAGTGACTGAATCTGGTCTTTATAAGTCACCTTGCAGATCTGAGGAGGAAGACTGGATATGACATCATCTTCCTCTCTCAGTAACTGTGATCTGTAATGTCTGTTGACCCTTCAACTTGTATTCAATATTTAGCACCTAATAATTTTGCTTCCACATCTGTCCTTTCACTAAAATTTTTAAATGTTAACCTGATTGGGAACAATTTTTTTGATAACAGAAAGTCATACAAAGGGGGAGGGGGCAAAGTATAGTCAACAATGTCAATTGCACTAGTTCTAAGAATTGCCTGAGATTAGAGTGAAATAGTATAGGACGGATGGGCGTGTTGCAAAGTTTATAAAGAGGTGGAAGACACATTGAGGGAGCTTATACCTAATGACTTCAGATTTCTCAATGAAATTGGAGACAAGGTGATTGAAGTAGTTGAAGGGAAAGATAAGGTTGCGAGAGAAGAGTAGTAAGGATTGAGTACACAGTTAGTTATCTTGATTGGACTTCTCTACTCTTTTTAACATGACCAGCTACTTTCTTCCTGAAACTCAAAATACCTTTGTCTACAGCATCACACTTGTCTGATAGCCTTGAACAACTATTTTTACTGTGCATTTCTCACATAAGTACATATCTTCTTGTTCCTTAAACATTGGTATAAACAAGGTATTCTGTCTTTTGTAGTTACTGACAGGCTCACTTAAAAGCAAACTAACTACTACTACCTGGTAGGATGAAGGGGCCCTGAGGGTGCTGTGGGCTAGGCATTGCATGCTAATCACAAACAAGGTGGGAGCTTCAAACCGTCCAACCACACTCCCTGGAAAAGGATAAGGCTGCCGCCGGCACAAAGATCTTACAGTCCCAGAAATGCAGGGCCAATCGTGATGAGTTGGAATTGACTTTATTGCAGCAGATTTTGTTTTTTAACATAATGTTATGAACCTATTCATTTCCCTGAGATTAAAACATCTCTATCCAATCTCTGCAAGTGTCCTGACCTCAATGTTCCTATGAAGTTAAACCCAATATACTTCAAACTAAACTCATCCTACACCCAAACTAGTTCCTCCTCTCACAGTCCCTATCTCATTCCGAAATAGTACATTCCATGTATTAACCTAAATGAGAAATACTAATTATCCTCGATGCCTTCCTCCTCCCTCATATACAGCATATAACCAAGCCTTGCTGATTTTACTTCCTAAATATGTCGATTTCTATTCTACATCCCAACTTTCACTTGCCTTGTTCATATCCTCAGAACTTCTAGATTGTACCTATTTCTACAGCCAGTTTTCTAACACATGGGGGCTTGATTTATTGGGGCGGACAGACAAGTACTCATAAATGAAGTCGGTGCTACAATAGGAGTATATTTAGAATTCAGAGGCAGCCTAGCAGAGGCCCATTTAATTTAGCTTGAGATGTTAACAAAACCTCTCAGAGTAAGGAGTACTCAAGCGGGCTTGAAAGATTAATGGGCTTCATGCAGAGAAAGTAAGAAGTAAGGCATGAAAGAGATGAAGGCACTCAATAGCAGAAACACGGAGACCAAAGGCTCGTGTGAAAAAATAAGTAGTTCCGGTATATTAGTGAAACAGCCTTACATTCTTGCTGAGAAGGGCTAAAAGCAAAATTAGAAAATATAAATTAACAAGGCAGTAAATGTATTAGAGCTTAATTCTGAACACCCCAGTCGGCAAAAGGCTATGGATGGATGGCAATGACAGTCCAAAATCCGTTTTCAGGGCCCCCCCAAAAATTAAGCCTCCACTGAGTTCTTTCTGATCATTAACCAAGGATGTGGATAACCATGGCCTCAGGCAGACTGCCTTGGAGGGAGATAATCCCTCACAACCCTCTACTAGTCCCAAACCAGCCCAGGGAGGGGTAGTCTCTCTTAGGGATTAGCCTGGGAGTATCCAGGTGGTTACCATACCGATCCAGGACAATACAGTGAGTTACATAGTCCTGAGTCATACCCTATCAATGGTGCCCTGCCTTGGTTGGACGTTCCTGGACCAATCTTGTAAGCCCTTCTATTTAACAGTGTGCGCATTCCAATCACAGGCCTGCTCCTGCTTCAGCAGTCCCACTTGTAACCCTGCTGTATTACTGCTCTGCCACCAGTCATGCTCTTGTGGCAATTCCCTTTAGTCCCTGCCCTGTTTATCTAGCTCCCCAGCGGTGAATTCCTCAGATGCCACTTTGACCTTGTGCTAATGGCCTCCCTTATCCAGATGATGAGTCTGTCTTTGCTTCATTTATGACTTCATAGAAGTGTTTTGAAGAAAACAAGGAGCCCTGGGGGCCGAGTGGTTAAGCATGGGCACTAACTATAAGTCCGCAGTTTGAAACCACCAGTCCTTCTTCAGGAGAAAGGCAGACTTTCTACTTGGACACTCCTATGACTTCACCTCCACCTACTCTCTATACCTACTCAATCCAGCCTTCTCCTTGCCTGGGGCACAGTTCCTTAGAATTTCACCTGACCTGTCTTACTTTCTTGCCTCTTTTAGGTCCTTCTGTAAATTATCTCCTTACCGGTGAAGCCAACCCCAATCACAAGACTTAACAATTGCAACCCTCCTCCCTCCTGACTCCCTCTGCTTTAAGTTTCTCCATAACCCTGATCTTTGACTCGGGGCACATCTACCCACCATCTCTGTTAGTACCATAGGGATTTAAATTTGTTTTGTTCACTAGAACAGTTGATGCACAGGTGGTTTTCAATGAATTTTTGTTGTGAAAAGTAAATAAACATAACCCGTCAGCCTCTAGGAATCTTAGTCCTATCCTTACGAAACTGCATTCATGAGAATGAGGTCCAAGGCAACAGTTATTTTTTCAGTTCTGGGCCTCAGTCTTGGCTACACTACCCTTCAGTTCAGAGTCTCTGTGTAACTCACCACAATAAGCAACAATTCTGAAAGCCCCTCGGAGTAACTTTAAGGAATGGAATCTCCAAAGTTTGTTTTAAAACAAGCATTATTAGAAAAGGATTCTGTAAGCATGTAAAATAAGGCAAATTCAAGTTGCACAGAAGTAAAATTTGAAGAACACACTTCTTACAGTTGTACACTGGAAGCACCATATTTCCTCCCCTAAAGCATAAAAGAAGAAAGAAAGCGCAAAGAAGCCACAAGCAGCAGTTGTTATTCCTGCCGGTCCTTTCCACTCTGATGTAATGTAACACACAAGGGGGCTTCAAAAAGCTTGTTCCTAATTGGTCACTTTTGACCTAGTTTCTATCTAGCCCTTGACCAGGCCATGTATTACAGACTACTGTGATTTTGGACCCTGCCTTTCAAGGTGCACAACATCCTTCCTAGGCCACACCTGAAGAATTTGATGTGGAAACCCCCTTAAGTAAACTGGGCTTTAGCTCAAACTCACCTGTAGCAGATGTAAGGAACTGACATAGTCCCCCTCTAGACTTAAGGCTGAAAAGCCTAGTGTGAAAAGCAGCAGATAACTGCTATCCCAAGGTTATGGAATACAGTAAAAGATCTTTGGGACTTTGGTTAGCATCTCTTGCTTTGAGGGTGACCAATGAATGGTGGCCTGAGGCTACCACATGTTTACTATTTTAATGCTCTCCTTGCTTTCTTAAGATATGTTCATGGGCCTGGTTTTGCCTTTGTTAAGGAGTCTTATTGAAAGTTTTGTTCTATCACCAAGCCCCATCATTCATGTAAATAGTGTCCAGTTACTTAAGAATTTGATCTGTATAAGTCAACAATTCATGTTTTGCTGTCTGGAGCTGGCCTATACTTGTATAGCTTCCTTTTTTCAGCAATGTTTTAAATTTTATACTACTGGTTAAATTAATATCAATATAATTACCTTATGCCCTGGGGGGTGATTTATAATGCTATTATGAAATGAAAATGACACCTCTAAAAGGAATAGAGATATGAATGGATTTGGGGCTCAAACTTAACTCTAGTCCCAATCTAAGAACAACTGGTTCTTATGACAGGCCCTACTCAATGCTCACCCTCATGAAGAGATCACTAAAGCTATGGGTGCTTTAGAAAAGCGTGAAGAAACCAGATGGTGCCCAGTTATCGGAAGGAAGAGTATATTAAAACAAGCAGTCATCTAAGTGCGATGTCAACTAAGTCCACATAGAAGAAGCACACAAACCAGTGTGATGTGACTCAAGGACTACACATATTATTATGAACACCCAGTTTGCAGAAGGCTATGGATGACAGTGGAAGCCCAAAATCCATTTGCAGGGTCCCCACATGGATTAAGCCTTGCTATCAGACAGAGAGCACTGGAGAGCCAATTGTGGCAGATAATTAGGTCAAAATGTAATAACTTTCTCATTTGATCTGCCCTTTGATCCATTCTAAAGTCTCAGTATTTAATATTTTCTGCTGTCTTTCGATTGAGGATTTTCCCTGTCCAGTGACAGTTGCTATTTTTGTTTCTTTGCTTCTTTGCTTCCTGTTAGTGTTTTGTATGATTTTCTGTATATGAAATCCAGAATAGGTGGATCTATGGAGACAGTTACTGGATTAGTAATTACATTGGGGCATGGCAAAGGGGATTTGGGTGGAAATATAGAGCTAACAAGACAATGTTCTCAAACTTTGTGGTGATGACTGTACAACTCTTCTTTTTTTAAATTTCTTTCCAAAGAAGTAGGAAGCATCCGATACTTTAGTTACA